TATACCTACTTCACACAGTAATTTATACATATGACTATAAAGAACTGAATAGGAGGATTCTTAGGAAAATCATTTCAGATCAAATGGCAGCTACATACAACCTACAGTTTACTGGACATAAAGACAAAGGAATACAATTAGCATTCAATAAAACAATATGTAAAGATTATTATGCAGTAAGCAAAATTTATATCGTTTATGTATATTTTATCAATAATTATTATAGGTATTCAATTATATTTTTGTTTAATATAGTAGCTGTTCAAAGTACCTACATTTACAACAGCTTAAATCAATTAAGTGGAGAATGCTGCCAGATATGGTTGACAAAAGCATCTGATGGATTAAAAATAAATCATCATAGTTTTCTTTATATCAGTTTAATATCTGATATAAATCAACTACATATAATTATGTATTATGTCATGTTTATAGAAAAAATAATTAGGTACTTCAATTAATGTTATTGCTGAAAAGTAGTAGGTATCAAAATGTATTCTCTTAAAACATTATTTCCTCTATTTTTTTTCTTTTCAAATGTTAAACTATTTTTTGTTTGATAGTACTATTGTATGGTTGTATGTACTATTTTGCAGCTATACAATTTTTTTTTTATCAAAATGAGGTTTTCTAATTGTATTAGTTATTTTCATTCATACTTACCTACTTAATATTACTAATAAAAACATCTTTTTATTTAAACATAGTAAAGTTGTATGATTTTATTTTACATACTAAAATTATAATATATTAATACCTATAGTATGAGTCAAAATACAATATGACTATAAACATTAAAAAGGAATGCACGTTCTTAAGGCTTAACGTTATTAATTGTTTTGTATTTTTATTTTAATAGATAATTAAATGTTATGTAGTAATTTTAAATTTTATAAATTTTAAATTTTTTTATTAATTTATTATGTCAATGATAGAAATAATGGCACTCTATAATACTATTCGGTGAACATTTTAACAATAAAAACTACAATACAATCTTTTGGTAAATTTATAAATGTATTAGTATAAATCATATCTAACTAATTGTCTTGTTTTTTTTCAATGTTATCTGCAAATTCAAAAAATTTAATGAAATTAATTTGCAAATTTAACAGATATTGGAGAACCAAAAATAAATTTTTTTCATTTTACTGGCACCTATTCAATGTATTAATCGACCTTCAACCAATTTGAAGATTATTGTCCTCCAAGTTCCAAACATCAGAAGGTTGGAAATCTGTTATTAGACAATATTTTTAAATTGTTTTCTTTAATCAGATTCAATACTTTTAATAGGTAATAATAATGAATTTTATGAATTGAATTATTCTTTACTAATGCAAGATCTTACCTATTTTATTGTCGAATGTCAAGTATAAATATTAAAAAAAAAATACTCTGTTGGTGTTAATAAGATTAAGAGATATTTTAATATAAAAAGAATCAAAACATTTAATAAAACGTACCTATCACAGAGAAATTAATTTCAAATGAATTAGCTGCACAGACATCATATAGGTACCTACTTACTAGGAAGCAATTATAAAAATGTTGTAATATTCTAAATTGGCTTTGAATAAGATGAAATTGTTCAAGCTTATCTGTTGTGAGTATATGCTATTTCAATTATTAATAATACACAATATGTCATATATATATATATATTTTTTTTTTCATTTGTAAGAAGTTGGAAGGGAAAACTTTGTTGGTTTTACTGATAGGTACTATTGTTTAAAATACAGTGACCAAATGGTTAGGTACGTCATTCTAATTGAAAAGTAAACAAAAACATGAAACTGGCATCTGGCTATATTTTATTTTCTGCTATTTAGATAATCTTCAATTGTATTTTCATCAGTGCGGTCCGTGATTATTGACTTATATATTATGCTGAACGATCTCTCAACATCTACAGACGTTATAAGAGCATTTTTCAGGTCTGAGGCCATGCTAGGAGAGAAATCTTGACCAAGTAACACATTGTTGTCCCTGGATAAAACTTTGTAATCAAGTTTGATAAAACAATTTGTAATATCAGTTAAACATATTATATGTGTTTATGAAGAACAAAAATAATTTATTACAAATAATTACCGAATTGGTTACTTTTATTAAAACTAAACTAAAAATTTGTAAATATTTCTCTAATATAATCAAATATAGAGAAAATATACTAAAATATTCTTTAATATGTAGGTACCATGAGATAAAATATTCTGAAATATCCTCTAAAATCATAATATGCACTACCTAATATGCAAAAAACACTTTTATTGATAGATTCGACAGGTTATGAAACACAAATATTTTTTTTACTCCTATGCGCTAGTTAAAAATATGTTTTTGCATACAACTCTTGGCTCCAATACTAGCTAAATTATCATTATTATATTTAATATGTTTCGTCGTATTCTTTCTTTCTACATATTTTATAATTTAAATATAATATAGTTATAATATTGCATTGATTTAAAATTTGTGATATTGTATCAATGTAATTACAAATGTATCTTTAAGTACTATTATTATGCCTTAATAGGCTTTTGGCTAGGTAGCTACTTTCAATATACCTACTTTAATTAGTTGTATTATTATTAAAATATATTTTAATTAGGTACCTACATAAATTTGTTAGAACAATTTGTGATATTTAAAAAATTGTATTTTATACTCATTACCTATATATTTATACGTCCAATGAAATAGTATTTTATTAATTTATATTAAATGCAGTTTAATTTATTGGATCTGATAGAAATTCCTTATTATGCTATTTTGAATTAATTTAGCCATTCCTTAGAATTTTAAAAAAGAATTCCACAGATGCGGACAACTACACTTCATTGGCACAAACATGGGAATTCCATTATATTCCCATTAGTTCTTTTTGAAATTCCCACAAATATCCGATGCTATTAAGGCGTAGGTATTCCAGTGTTGTAAATTGAGGTAAATTCTTATATAAGTTGGTACTATAATCAGAGCTTAAATCAAAAATAATACCGTTTACAGTTATATGGATATTAAACGTTATGATCGAATGACTGTTGAACGTCATAAAGAATTTAAACGTTATTCAACTTAAGCGTTTAAACGATTTATAAATTTAAACATTATGAAGCGTTTAGCGTTATCTGGTGGTTATAGCTTGTTTCCTACACAAAACAGAATGATTGAAAAATATAATATTATAAAAATAACCATAATATATATTTTACTGATATAATTTTATAAATATTTTTTTTTTCAGGCAATTATATGTTTCAATTGTTTAACGATAATCTTTTTTTGAAATGTTTAACGTTATAAAAACGTTTTGAAGTCCTGACTAGTATAGTTGTGTGTGGTGTATTATGGGAGCATGTACATCAATAATAATATCATAAATCATATATCATTTTATATCTAAAATAGATATTTTTTCAATCCAATACTTATATCATCTCACACAATCACAATATTGTGGTATTTAGATAAACATTTACCAATTTAAAAATATCGTGTAAGTTGTGGCTTGTGAGGGAAGCAAGCGGTTTTTAATCTTTACATTATATATTAATTTTATAGATATAGATATTTTATAGAGATATTTATTAAATAGTAGTATATAAACTTATACAAACTGCTACTAACTGATATAAAAGTTTTGGCAATAAAATATATAATCAAGAAGAAATAAATCTTTAGCAAAATATTAATAACTTATAAAATTAATAATGAAGACTCCTTTTGTTCATAAACTAAAATATTTATAGGATTATTGTCTCTATTAAATTCAAATAAATTAACTATTGACTTTTTTCTCAAATAGGTAATTAATATGATTTTATCAATAAAATATATGAAAATTATAAGTTTTAATTTTTGTTACTATTAATATAAATTGCTTATTATTTTTTTTAATATTAATATTGTTATTTATTTCAACTCCCAATATAGATTTAAGAATAAACTGATGCATAGCTGCATTAGTAAAATAAATATAAATATCATACACATACAAATTTAAAATAAAAATGTTTAGTTTAACCCAATACATATTGAAAATTTAATTAAGCTGTTGGAATTAACAAAATACCCTCTATCATGTAGTTATAGTATATAATGGTAAACTATTAATAACTGTAGTACAGCAACCACAAAATGGACATTTTTAGTATACCTACTACCTACTCCTAATAGCATATTTATCTTATGTAGTATCGTAATAGCCAGTAGGATATCTAGTGATTGCCTATTGGTTTATATTATGCCTAGTAACATTATTATAGGTAGTAGGTAAGGTTTATTGTATTGTAACAACTATAATATTATAACATAACACTTAAATAAACTCCACATAACATTTATAGCATAGACATAGTATGATTCACCGGTGACCGATACAATAATATATTCACACAAAATTATATGTTAGGCCTATTAGTTAAATAGATAATTAAAATAATCTAATTGAAAATGTAAATACAAAAAATATTAAATCGGTTTCTGAAAGGGGAGACTTAAAAACTAATAGGGAAGAAACCGTAAAATGTTTCATTAATTTAAAATCAAAACAGGTGCAGATTTTATTTAATGCTAGTAACACAATTCAATTACACAATTTTAAATGCAACATAGGTACAAACATTAAAAGACAACAGTTAAGATATTTTAGAATCATCCCTATCACAAGATGAATTTTAAACATTTGTCTGTGTTAAATTAAGAAAACTGCCATACATTTAGAAAAATAGATTAAAAATGATTTTACATAAACAATTTGGCATATTAGCAACCATATACTCAGGAACAATTAAGAAATAAAACAGAAAGTATCATACATGAAAATTAAATTTAAAAAAAAAATAATAATAATAAATTCATTATAGGTATTAGTTAATTAAATTAATTTAAAAATGAATTATGAAAATGACAAATATTATAATGTTAAGTTAGTATATTGACATATATTAATTATTAATGATACATATCAATCCATAATTAGGTACTTAATACCATTATTTTCCAGAGTCATCTTGTAATTTGGGTAGTGCCTTAACCATAACCATTTCTTCTTCTATAAACAATATAATATTAAAAATAATATATTTTTCATATAACACAGTTAATGGAGAGTACCTAGGGGTATTATTATTTTAATAGACAAAAAAATATTATGTTTTCTTTTTTCAACAAAAAATTAATCAAAATTTGATATAAGGTATAAGCTAAACACTTACCACTCTTCTCATTTTCTTCTGTTGTTCTAATAGCTTTATCAGCTACATTGGTAGCTAAATCTGATTGTGCCTGTCCTGTATCACCTTGGGCATGCAAATTTTGATAATTCTGCTGTTGTTGATCTTTTTCTATTTGTTCTCTAAACATAATATTAACAACGTTTAAAACATATTTAAAATATATTTAACAAATTTAACAAACCTTTCATGTTTAAATAATGAAACGGGTTCAGAAGTATCTGCAAAAAATGCATTGAGCGAAGATAACCTTTGCAATAATTTTAATTTCTTTCTATTTGGATTCTCCATTTGTATCACGCGAGTAACACCCTTTTAGTTATATAAATTAAAAAATAACAATCAAGATAAATCGATTATTATAAATAGGTAGGTACCTATAATAACTACTATATTATATTATTATACATTTATAAACATTAGGTACCTCAGCGTCAGAGCCTGCATTAGATTCATTTCCAGCTTTGGAAATGTCTTCGTCACTATCACTCTTGTTCCCTTTACATTCGAGATTCTGTTTGTCAGCCTCTTTATGACTATTAGTTATTCGACCCTGTTCATCATGCACTCTCTGTTTTTCTAGTTCTTCAGTATTAGCAAACTCGTCATTCATCCCTTTATTTGACCCCTCTTCTAGATAGAAACAATTTAAAAATACGAATTGTATCGATGTAAACAAGAACATGAGAATAATAAAATATAAAATAAATTGTTATTGGGATTGCATTCATACCTCTGGTCATATTGTTCATATAAGTAATACAACGGTAATCAAGTATAAACTAAAAATCTACTGGATTAGAAGTTATTAAGTAAGCACCGTATCGGGAATGGGAATCAACCAAAAAAACGATGTCATAAATTAATTTTATGCAAAATTGTAAAATAATGACGCCACTGGCCACTCATGACTTATAATATAGTCATATCAGTTATCATCTTATTGACATCTTAGTATTGCATCATAATAGTCTTGGAATAAAAAAATTCAATATAAGGGTTGTTACTCACCCTTAGGTATATCACAAATCCATATTGAATAACGACCCTCGATCAGCTGATCGAGTACTTGTTTACCTTTGATATGAAATCTGAAGCCCCTAAAAACATGGAAACGAGGTCACGCACTAACCCAAGTAATACGTTTGCTTACACAAGTGACAAGTTATGAAATCGTTTACTACCACCGTGTTCAAGGCCATACAATTTCTCTAGTAAGAACCCTAGACTCACACTTGGCCTTTTTTTATATTACTTGTATCGCTGTCTAGGGATGATAATATAATTATTAATTAGGAATTGTACCCCAATATAGTTTTTGTGGCCAACAATAAGAAACCCGACCAAAAATCGTCCGAATCCGCGAGTTCCTCATTCGACTGCCAATGACAACGGTACCTTAAAATACTGTGTGAAATGTGAATTGAAACACTTTTGAACTTTATAGTAGATATTATAAACACTTTTCTATTTGGGGAGTTGGGCTTTATAGAATATCAAAATATTGGTCTCATCGAGCACCTTAAGTGTGTACCTACCTACCTTTATTAAAATGATGGTGTTTATGTTTAACAAATTATTTTATATTATTTTGAAGTGCTTTGTTTCTACCTCTCCGAAATATGGTCTCAATAGAAACATTTATGTTTTTTTGGTGTATTTTTTTATTTTACCAACTGATAGGTAGATATAAAAACAATTATTGAGATTTTAGTTTCTGAGCAGAGCGATGGATATGTTTTTAAAATTTATATTGACTGCATTCTAACGAATCATAAAAAAAAAAAATGAACGACCCAATGAAACAAAGTGAATGGGTTCGTTTGAAAAAAACACGAAAGTGAACGTGAACGAGTTCATTTTTTTAGTGAACGTTCCGAACACTGACTAATTTACTAACAGGTACCTAATGAACATTGCAAAATGCAGGATGATCTTAACAGATATGGTGACTGGTGTCAAGCAAATGGGCTGATGCTAAATACCTCTAAATGTTTTAAAATGTGTTTTTCCCGTTCAAAAAATAAGTTGAATAATGTGTATTTCTTTTAGATTCTGAGTGAAACGATGAATGTATTGATTTTACAATGATGTGTGTTTTTTTTTTTTAATTTTTAAAATTTTTTTTTGGTGTCTGTCATCACGTTTTAGGACATTAAAAAAGCTTGGATTTTCTTCAACAGTAGCTTTTCTGATAGGAAAGTGAATCTAGTTGATACTTGGGGGGGGGTCAAAAGTGAAAATTTCCCAATAGTTTTCACGAGCGCCGGGAAAAACATCATAAAAATTAAGGAAAAACGGGAACTTTTACGCAAATTCGGTTTTCCAAAAATTCGATTTTGGTTTTTAGTGAAACTCTTAAACAAATGGCCGTAGGTACATGAAATTTTGACTGAATGTTTATATTAGCATTTTCTATACACGATATCATTTTCAAAATTTTTTGATTTATTTTGAACTGTTTAGGCACATTTTCATTTTCCATTTTTTTTTAGTTTTTTTTTGTAAAAATATCAATCAAATTGTATTTGTTGGTTAAAAAAGATTGGAAATTTAATACAAGGCTCCTACTATATTGTTACCATTTAATTTGAAAAATATTAAAAATCCTTAGTCACAGTTTTTTTTTTAAAAAACCATTTAAAGTTCAAAAATTGACAAAATATGGAAAAATCACGAAAATTTGCAAATTATTTTGAGTTAAGAATTTGTAAAAATTTTTCTTTTTAAATCTAAGATTTGAAAATATAATACAAGATTCCTTATAAGATTATCTACCTTTATCAAAAAAAAATATCTATAAGAAAGTCAAATTAAATTTTTATGAGCGTTTGAAATTTACATTTTTACAACATTGGATATTCACTCGATTTCTCATGTAGCGATTTCCTTATTTTGTTGTAATTCAAAAACAAATAACTGTAGATACATGAAAATTTCACTGAATATTTATATTAGCATTTCCTATACACCATACAATTTTGAAAATATTTTGACTCTTTTTTAGCTGTTTTCGGACATATTCAGTTTCCAATTTGTTTAGTTTTTTATTCTATAAATATCAATTAAGTTTTATTTGTTTGGATAAAAAGTGTAAAAATATGTAATACAAAGCTCTTGATATATTGTTACAATATAAGTTGAAAAATATCAAAAATACATAGGCACAATTTTTTTTTATAAGCATTTAAAGATCGAATTTTGACAAAATTTATCAAATTTAAAATTAAATAATTATTTTGTAGTTAAAAATGTATAAAATGTTCAGCTTTTATATCTAAGGATTTAATATTTAAAACAAGATTCTACGGTAAGTAGTTGATTCTGTTACCAAAAAACCTAAAAAATACACAAACACTGCAGTTTATTTTTATAGTCAGTTTAAGTTTAAATTTCGACGAAATTACATATTAAAATCAATATTAACGATTTTAGTTTTTTGTTTTAATTTAAAAATATTATTTGGGGATATATGAAACTATAAAAAATCAAAAAATCAAAATATTATGGCCTATCCATAGGCGTGCGCAGACTTTTTTCGCAAGGTATGCCACTATTTTTAAACATACCTAGCTCAAAACAAAATTTAAACTCCCCAAAAACTCTTAATAGGTAGGTACAATTAATAACTTGCTAGGTATGCATAGAGAAAAGAAATTAATATGTGCTTTATTTAGCTTACCTACTTATTGGTTTTAGATATTTTAATTTCAAAAGTTTGTACTTCTGTGATTTCATTCCAATGAAGTAACAGTATAGAAACCTACAGAATATATTTGATCATAATATTAGAATAATATAATAATGACAAAAAATGATTATCTAATTAATCGAAATTCTTTTAATTTTGATAGTTGTAGGTAGTATGAAAATAAGAAATACTGCATTGGCCTGCAAAATTTTCTGGTGATAAAACCCTCAATTCTCACGAAAATTGTGGATTTTTATTTCAACTATATTATCAAGAGTTAGCAATCTATTTTATTATTTATAGGTACCTGTGGTGATTATGAAAATTTAATTATGAAATCTAATTAATATTTGATTTCGTCTCAACTGCCAATATTTTATTGTAAGAAAATAATGTAAAAAATTAATCAAAATAATTTTAGTTCATGATTCTAATTTATAATCAAAACACTTACAACTAAAAACTTTATGGTTAAGATAACTCTGCAGGGGATGCCATGGCATACCCGGCATCCCCCCTGCGCACGCCTATGGGCCTATCCATACAATCTACCATAGTATAATGAATAAGGATGGGGCTATACACGGCGTATTACGCCCGTCGTGTATAGCTGCTCCGAGTTAAACCAATACGTTTTTAATTCGACGGAAAACGCGGCGTTCGAAACGCGGCGGCATACGCCGTGTATAGCTCCGGCCTAAGAAGTATGCTCTATGATAATATTGTGCATATTTTTTTTTTATTACCATTGATATGTATATAATTTGTCTTAAACCTAGACTGACATACCGTCTCCTCTCAGAATCGTTTTTCTCATACAATAATATTATATCATTGAATTCAAATTTAATACCATCCATTATATTATATTATATTATATATTTTTTAATTTTTTAAAATTTTTTTTTGTGTCTGTCATCACGTTTTAGGACAGTAAAAGTGCTTGGATTTTCTTCAACAGTAGCTTTTCTGATATTAAAGTGAATCTAGTTGGTACTTTGTCGGGTCAAAAGTGAAAAGTTCACAGTAGTTTTCAAAAGCGGCGTCAAAAACAAAATAAAAATTAAGGAAAAACGAGAATTTTTACAATAAAATCAGTTTTTGAAAAAATCGATTTTGGTTTTTGGTGTAACTTTAAAACAAATGAACGTATATACATGACATTTTCACTGGTTGTTTATATTTGCATTTTCTATACACGATAACACTATCAAAATATTTTGATTTATTTTGAACTGTTTAGGGACATTTTCATTTTCCATTTGTTTTTAGTTTTTTTTTTAAAAATATCAATAAAATTTTTTTTGTTGGTTGCGAAAGCTTGAAAATTTAATAGAAGGCTCCTAGTATATTGTTTCAAAGGGAGATGAAAAATATTAAAAATCCTTAGTCACAATTTTTTTTATAAGCATTTAAAGTTCAAAAATTGACAAAATATGGAAAAATCACGAAAATTAGCAAATTATTTTGAGTTAAGAATTCGTAAAAATTTTTCTTTTTAAATCTAAGATTTGAAATGTAATACAAGATTCCTTATAAGATTATCTACCTTTATCAAAAAAAAAATGTCTATAAGAAAGTCAAATTAAATTTTTATGAGCGTTTGAAATTCAAATTTTTTCAACATTGGTTATTCACTCGATTTCTCATGTAGCGATTTCCTTATTTTGTTGTAATTCAAAAACGAATAACTGTAGATACATGAAAATTTCACTGAATGTTTAAATTAGAATTTTCTATACACCATACAATTTTCCGACATTTACCGCTTTCAATTTTTTTTAGTTTTTTTTTCTATAAATATTTATAAAACTGTATTTGTTGGGTTAAAAGCGTGAAAATGCAAGGATCCTGATATATTGTTGAAAAATAGAGTTGAAAAATATTAAAAATACATAGTCACAATGTTTTTTATAGTCATTTAAAGATCAAATTTTGAAAAAAATTATCAAATTTAAAATTGAATAATTATTTTGTAGTTAAAAATGTATAAA